AGAGCACTTTCGCTCAGCGCGCCCATCCGCAGTTCACTGCTTTCTCTCCAGCTTTCCCATTTCCTCCCTTCCAGCCTGACATTCCTGTTGCAAAAAAGAGGCTGAAAGTGGCCATTTCTGCTCACTCCTTGAGGGAAAAAAGTAGTTGAGAATCAACTTGTTCAAGAGTCGCTTGGATACCAAGTAAGGGTGTGACCGATTCCTGCATCTCCGTGCAGCCAGACTAAGGTGAGACCCGGACTCCCATGCCACAGGAAGCCTGGGCCACAGCCTCTGCCAACTTTAAATTGTCTGTTTCCTGCGGACTCAGGGCCGGGGCAGCCTGATGGCCTTCCCTATATGGAGGTTGTTTTTCCTTACTCAGACATGTTCCCAAAATAGGTGGTCAGGAAGGAGTGATGTTTTACTCACGGAGGGAAGGGCGGCTTCCAAACAGGACAAGGGTATCCTGCAGGGGAGCTGGGGAAAGGGAAGGTGAAGAGACAGCTGGATCTTTGGGGTTGGTCATTCGGGCTGGGCCGGTGTGTCTGGGCTTCTGGCTCCAAGCCCATTAATCAGCCTTGAGGGGATGGAGGGGTCTGGAGCTCCGAGTGGCCTCAGAGGAATTGAGGTTTGCGTGTTTGTTTGTTTCTGCTGTGCAAAGAGCTTAGGATCATTTCTTTAAAGAAAACTAAAGTGAAATTCATTGTAAGCGAACACTTCGAAGTCTCCAGCTCAGCAGCCGTTAGTACATCCACACTGCAGAGTGGTTGACCATGTCTATTTAGTCCCAAAACATTTTCTTCACTCTAAAAAAATACCGTGTCCACTAAGTTACTCCTCATTCTTTACTCCACTTGAGCCGTGGCAACCACCAATCTGTTTCCTGTGTCTCCCATGAACCATTCTGCTATTTTACAGAAGTAGATGCATGCAGAGTGTGACCTATTTGCCGTCATTAGCGCACGCCTGACCTTCATCTGTGTTGGGTCCTGTAGCAGGGCTTTTTAATGGCTGCATGACGTCTCATTACACAGACAGGTCATACTTTGTGTGTAATTCATCCACCTGTGGGCTTTGGGTTGTTTCCACTCCCTATTGTGGACAGAGCTCTATTAACTGGAATATGTGCTTTCAGTTTTTTTGCAAATACATCACAAGTGGGTTTGCTGGGTCGTATGGTAATTCTGTTTAACTTTCTGTGGAGCCGCTTCACTGATTTCCTCGTGGCTGTGCTGTTTCTGTTCGCAATGCACAGGTTTCCAGGCACTTGCTGTTTCCCATGTTTTTCCTTGTGGCCCTCCCAGCACATAGGAAGTGGTATTTCGCTGTGGTGTGGATGTGCGTTTCCTTAACGTTTCCTTAATGGCCAGCAATGTCACACACCTCCTGATATTCTTGTGAGCCATTTGCCCATCTTCTTTGGGGACTTACCTAGTTAAGTCATTTGCACAGTCATTCTGTTACTGGGTTAGAATTGTTTTTTGATTTCAGATCTGAAAAGAGCTCTGGGGTCCATCTGTTGTCGCTCAAATTCCTCCCAGCCTCTGGGTGAGGAACTAAAAACCCAGAAAGACACGTGGTCATCTTCAAGGTCACACGATCATCTTCAAGGTCACGCAGTGGGAGCTGAGCTGGGATCAGAGGTCTGATCTCCCAGATATGTGATCACCGCATACAACATATTCACAGGTGTGACGGAGGCAGGTCACAACCCTGGGAAGCCTGGGCCTTGCGTCTACACAGAACAAAGCTATTGATCCATGGTCCTCTTGATTTGGCTTGCTGGTCACACAACTAATAGAAACACAGTAGGACCTTAAGAGCAAGTTAAAAAGTCCAGTGTAATAGTGTGTGCCTATAATCCCAACAATCTGGGAAGCTGAAGCAGAAGGATCACAGGTAGAATTCAGCCTGGGCAACTTTATGACTCAGCAAAGAGCTGCTTCAAAATAAAAATAAAAAATAAAAAGTGTTGGGACACAGCTCAGTGAGAAAGCCCTACGTTAACTCTTCAGTACTTGGCCCTGGTCCCCTAAAAGCAAGTTAAGACCCAGGGAGAGTGAAGCCAGCCAGATTCACACACCGGTAAGTCTCCACTTCCCATCTAGATGCTAACCTTTTAGCACGGTGCCCTCCGATGTGTAGTTTCACATACTTTCAATTTCATGCAAATGGCTGGTTGGCCAGCTGACTGGAAGGTTGTTGGCTGGGTGGGTAAATGGGTGGTGGCAGGGGTGGATCGATATGCATAGGGGGATGGATGGATGGATAGATGGATGGATGGATGGATGGATGGATGGATGGGTGGAGGGATGGATGGATGGATGGATGGATGGAGGGATGGATGGATGGATGGGTGGAGGGATGGATGGATGGATGGGTGGAGGGATGGATGGATGGATGGATGGATGGATGGATGGATGGATGGGTGGAGGGATGGATGGATGGATGGATGGATGGATGGGTGGATGGATATATAGAGTACTTTCCCTGTCCTGCTACTTACTCTCTTTCTCCTCAGTTTCCCTGCCTAAATTCCTGCTCCATGAATGGTGCTCTCTGACAGTGTGGGCTGATAGCTTATAGCTGCCTCTTTTGGTGTAGACTTGTCTTTCAGATTATAGATTCCTGCAAACGTACACTTCTACAGAGGGAATATGACATTTTTCCCTGTTGTGTTTAACGTTCACGTTCACAGGGATCCTGGCTACATTAGTATTTCCTGTCTTTTTTCCTTTTCTCTTTCTTTCATCAATTTCATCAGATCCTTTCCATCATCCAAAAGCTTTATGTTTGCAAAACACTCTTAGACTCATGCCCCATGTCGTGGGGCTTATCCCTCTCCTTTCCATTCATAGGCAACTTCGTGAACAAATTATTCTCCTCAGTCTTGTTTATTGTTCTGCAGGATGTAGGGCTTTTGCCTCACCCTACATCCTGCAATCAGCTCTCATCAAGGCGAATTACATACTTTTAAATGCAGCCAAGGCTTTGGAGACTTTGTTTTGCTCATCTCTTCTCAGCATTTAAACTGCTGGCCATTGCTCCTTAAAACGCCTCCTTTGGCATCCTCTAAGTCTCTGTGCCTACGTCTCCTCCCCTATATCCACACTTCTTTACCTTCCTTTTCAGACCCTTTTCTTTTTTACAACCTTTAAGTCTCGTAGTGCCCGATAGTTTTATTCTAGGATCCCTTCCTGCCATCAATTCACACGTAGCACATAATGACCAGCAATCAATTCCAGTACCCAAATTTCTACCAGAAGCCATGAACATACTTTGAGAGGCAAGCCTAGAGAATTAGACTCCCATGGACTTACAGGTCCCTTACATGTATCGCTGAGACCTCAGACTCATCATGTTAAAGGTGAGTCTTCAGGCTCCCTCTCCAGGTTTGCTTCTCTTCCTAGGATCCTTTACCAAATGTAAGTGTGCATCGGTGACTCCAAGACTCAATTCTGGCCTTTCATCAGCTGTTGCTCTATGAGCTCCCCAGTTTGCATATCAGTATACAGAGCCTTTCCCAGACAGCATCTCTGTTGGGGAAGATTATGTTTGTAACCCCAGGAAAAAGCTATGGGAATTCTGATAAATTAATTTTAATCTGTCACTTTTAGTGCAACCCACAGCAAGAATAGAGGCGCTAAGACACATATAGTTATGGAGAGCCAAGGGGTCCTAAGTCCACCCAGGACAAAGGCCCATTGGAACAAAGACTCAGCCCAGTGCCAAACCTTGATTTTATTAATCGTGAAGAAGGGAGTGGTTTGAGGATGAGTAACTGTGAGAATGGTGGGAAATATGGGAGTACTGAGAGCTGAGCTAGGTAGGAGGCCCAAAGGGTCCTCTGCAATACCCAAAGAGGAATATGCAGAATGGTCAATTTGCATAACACAACTGAGGTAGCATTTAATGTTTTGAGGGCCTGTGCTTCAGTTCTGCTGTGCAAGCTTTTCTGCCCTGGGAAGTCATAGCCTCTTATCTTGAGGCTCAAACCCAGCTGACAGCCCTGGAGCCATGGCTCTTCATCCTGCCTGGCTCAACCATGTTTTGGGGAGTCACGGGTCAGGAAAACAGTGACTGTTGCCTAGCTTCAAAGATTGTGCATCAGCACCTCAGCTGGCCCTATTTACATTGCTGGGAGCCAACTGAAGGGAAAGGAAATGGCCCAGCCAGCTCTGTACACATCAGCACATGAAGACAGGGCCAAGTTTAGCCAACGTGGAGTAAATGTTCTTTCTTCACGTTGAGACTTCTGGGTGGTCTTTCACCTATCAGTAAATCCCACAGCCCAAAGAGTGGAAGTAGCAAATCAATGCATGCACTCATAGCCTACAAGATCAGTCAGTGGGGGTTTGCTAGTTTGCATGCAGCCAGTGGCAAGGACATAGACAACAACATCCCTAGGAAGCCTCATCCCTGAAGGAATGGTTCAACTGAGGCAGAGCTCTGGGACTCTGCAGCTCAGTGACTCCCCCTCCCAGCACAAGGCTGCACGCAGAGCCTGCTCTCCTATGGCCACACAGGTGAGCCTCTGGCTGGAGCTCCTTGTTCTCAGACAGCCCTTAGGCCACATGCAGGACCCAGAGAGAAAAGCTCCCAAGGGTCAGTCCTGTTGTCTCCAAGCCCACCTCGCTGAGATCCTGTGGCTGTCTGCCTAAACCCAAAGGAGTGTGTTGTGAATGTGTGGGGGTTTCAGGAAGTGATTAGGTCATTAAGAGGGATTAATGCTTTTCTCTTGGGACTGGGTGAATCCTAGGTATTGAGTAAGTCCTCACTTGCTGGGGATTCAGTCTGCTCCCCCTAGAGAGGGGTGGTTATGAAGCAGGGCTACCCTCATGTTTGACCTCTTCTTCAGGAACCCACTTCCTCTTCTGCTTTTTGCTTTGGGTTACAGCAGAGCAATGCCCTGGGCAGATGCAGTCGCCTGACCACGGATGTCCGACCTCCAGAGTCACAAGCCAAAATAAACTGTGTATTGGTTCACTTTCCTTTGCTCATAGCACAATACCACAAACTAAGTTGTAAAAAGAGGTTTATTTTGGCTCACAATTCTGGCCCAACATTATTGGCCACATGTCGAGGCTGCTGTCTTGCTGGCTGAGTCTCAAGACAGCACACGGCATGACACGGAGGGAGACAGACTTGTGTCATGGCCTTGCTCCCTCTTCTGACAAAGCCACCAGTAATCAATCGTGGACCTCATCCTGATGAATTTATTTAATCCCAGTAACCTCCAAACACTACGGTTGGATTAAGATTCCTTCCTCTTAATTCTTTACCTACAGGGTTGGTGGTACTGCAGTACGGGTTTTTAGAGGTGACAACCCATACTCACACCATAGCAAACCTCATTATGTTATAAATAAACCAGTGTCAGGTATTCTGTTATAGCAGTGGAAAAAGGATGAAGGCACCCTTTTCCTCCCCTCACCCAGCTTTGACATTTACCCAGTTAACAGCCCTGCTGTTTACTTGGTGCTCAAGCTTAACTCAGAGGTCCCAGCAAGCTCTGGTTTACACCTCTCATCTGCCCCATCCCCGAGGCCTCCAGTTCTTCTCAGCAGGGTCTTGAACATACATCTTTGGAGCTAGAATGCAAGGATGAAACTTGATTCTACCACATGGCATCAGTTTACCCACAGTGACTGTGTTAGCTTTTCTGTACCTCGGCTTCTTTATGCCTGAAAAGAGAAGAATAACACAGAAACCTGTTATACCACCAAGATTATGAATAATACTTTCTTTTTCTCCCCAAGGTGTCCCAGCATGATGGGTCATATGGTCTAACCAGTTGATGGGACTGGTAGGGTGCTTTATCAAGGCTCCCTCTTCAGGCAATGTGTCCATCCCCATGCCCCTAGCTGGAACATCCTTTTGGTATATGTAAATATCAACCATTATTTAAGTCTGGGCTACTTTCTTTCATCAACAGTAACCATCTGCTGACTGTGGCCTGTCCTCTGAGCAACACCCTCACCTGAACCCTTCCTGGGGTACTGTCTTCTGTTCCATCTTTGTGATAGCTCCTTCCAAGGTGCTCCCATGGCCAGCGACTGGCTCACTAAGGCTACGAAGACTGTGCTCATTTGCCTTACTTGGGGCCAGTGAGCGCCCCTCAATGCTCCAGACTACATGCAGCATTGTCTGAGGGCTCCACTGGACTCTGAGCCTGGTCCCCTGCCTCTCCCCAGGCTTGTCTTCCTCCTGTCCCTGCTTGTGAATCAACTCCCAAGAGCAAAACTCAATAACTCCCTTGAACCCAGTTCTCCAGGGAGCTGAATCCTAGACACTAACTGTTATGGCTTGAAGCTAGATGTCCCTCAAAACCTCCTGTGCTCATAGGTGAAGCTTTTGGGAGGTGGCTGAATTATGAGTGTGTGATGCTGAGATTGAGGGTGTGTAGCACTGGATTGGTTCATTAATAATTGGTTCGGCAGATTTCTGGGGTGCCTGAATGGATTTACTGAGGACAGATACATCCTGGATGTGGGAGGCACCAACCAACAGGCTTGTATATTTCCCTTGCAATATAAAGGGAAGGATGAAAGGCAGGTTTCTGCCTGCTCTGCCATGGACTGTCTCTCCTCTGCCATGCTGTCCTCCCTGGAACCAGCTGACTATGAAGTGCAACCTCTGCAGACTGTGAGGTCCTCCTTTAACTTGTGTCAGTTATTTTGTCCCAGCCACAAGGAAGTAATTAAGACACTAGTGATCCTGTCATGTTTCTTTACAGCATGACAGTGAGCCCCTAGAAGGACAGGCTCATGTGTCACCATCTAGGCCCCGTCAGTGGCACATAGATTAGATCTAATCCCTGCTGTGAAGCACTGAGAGGGAGGAATCTTAATCTAGGTGCAGTCTTTAGAAGTGAGGTCTTTGGGAAGTGACTGGGATTAGAGAAGGTCATCCGGATGGGGTCTGTGATTGAATACTGGTGGCTTTGTAAGGAGGGGAGACAAGACACTCACATGTGCACACCCAGTTCTTTTAAAGTTTTATTTTGAGATAGGATCTTGCTAAATAGTTGGGCTGGGCTTGAAGTTATGATCTTTCGGCCTCAGCCTCCAAGTAGCTAAAATTAGAGCTGTGTGCCATCATATTAAGCTAGACTATTTTATATATTTTATATTTTATTGCATTAATGACCTCTCTCTCTCTCTCTCTCTCTCTCTCTCTCTCTCTCTCTCTCTCTGTCCAAACAGGGATCCCACTTTTTCATTTCCCATTGGACCCTGTAAGTCATACAGCCAACCCTGAGAGTGATAACCAGCTGCAAAGTGGTTTCCAGGGTCTCTGGGCTCCAGGTGACCAAATGGGACCCTTGAGGGAGGGTCAAAGCAATTGGATTTGTGCAGAGAGCAGATACCATTTAAGGAGATGTGATCCCCAGTGGGGTGAGTTTCCAAGACTTAAATAATGTGGCACTGCCTGCTCTGAAAGAAGAAACTGGGAGACTGAAATCTGTGGGAAATGTAGTGGAGAAATTCCTGTTTGGATTGCAGATTGTTACTCAAGGCTAACAATCCCACAACTCAGTCAGAAGAGGATAGGGCTTGGATCCCCTCTCAGAAACCTCCAGGACAGATTGTCCCGGCATTCAGATCTTTCCAGATTTTAGGAAAAAAATACTGTATACATGCTGTGTGTTAGATGGCATCCCAAATTAAACTTGCTACTATTTCTAGAGCCAGACAGATGACAAACAAAAACCACGAAGAGCCTCTTGTCCACGTCTGGGTTTATTGGAAATGAGATCAGGCCAGCCTAAACCATCCCTCCACGTACAGGAAGACTTTGAAGCTCTGGCTTTGGCCATTGGTATTGCAGATAAGGGATTGTAGACCTGAGTGTGAGTTTTCAAAGCACTTCATGGATGTGAAGAAAAAATCTCTCACACTGTGCCTATGGAAGTCCTAGACACATCTCCAAACTTCATGACTGAAGAGAGGAACCTGCACTTAAACTACAACTTCACTTGCTGAGCTCAGTAGGCTCTGCTGTCTCCCTGACCTTCGTGCCTCCCTGCAGACGAAGACCCTTCTTCATTGCTCAGAGGCAAGGAAACCGCGGCTCCTACAAGGTCAGCACCACATGTTTGGTAAATGCTGGGACCTGCATGAACATCCAGGGATTTGGGATTTCAAATACCACCCTTTTCTATAACCTCAAAACCTCTGTGTGGTGTCTAGAAGATGTGTCAGGCAGTGCTGTTATGCAACAGAAAGCCTCTCTCCCAAGAAAGGAATGTTGAAACTTTGCCTTATAAGGCGGTATACACACAAATCCTGAGCCTTCAGCCTTATTGTGCTGCTCCAGTTCCTTCCCCAGAAGTCCTCAGATTGTCCCACAGTGCAGCACCTGAAGGAAACACACCTGGCAGACCATGGATCCCTAAAACCATCTCCAGTACCAGGGGCAGAGCTCATACCCCACTGTAACTGTGCCTTAGTTACTTTCTTATTACGTTTGTAATCCACAAACGAGCCCCCAAACTCGAGTTTAAAAAATGAGGCAAAAACATATTTTAAAAAGCAGCGCTGATTTATTTTATCCTGGGCCCAGCGACACAGTGCAGTTGGAGATTGCAAAAGCTGTTTGTGTGTTGCTCCTCTATACTTGCCACCTTTAAGTACATATCACAGTTTACAAAGTAAGGGGTTTGGGCATGGATCAGGAAAACTGTTAATGAGGAAGGCCTTTGTTTTCCTTAGGAGAGGACAGAGCAGTCTAGCAGTAATTAACAACCTCTGTTAGCTTATTTTAGCACCACATCGATGTCCCTGGCTCCAAGGTTTGTTCCCATAGAACCTGAGAGTCCGTGGTAACGGCAGCTCCCACGACCTGCTTACCTTGATAAATGTAACTGCTTCCATCAGAGAAGTAGGATGAAACTCCATATAGTGGCTTATCTGTTAGATCAGGTTGAAATCCCGGGAGGTGATTGATGACCTCAGTACAATTGTGGTCAGGCAATGAGGGGTCTTCGTCAGGCAGCAAAGCAGCTGGATTTAAAGCTGTTGTCTTCTTGAAACTAATAGTAGTCGGATCCAGAAGTAGTGCCTGATAGTGCATGACTCGGGAGTTAGACATCCATCTGTCTGGAGGGGCCTTAATGAGTGTCTCCAGTGAATGGGAGGAGACAATTAAGAGCTTTTGTCCAAAAACCAACTTTTGGGCTTCCTTTAAAAGGAGAGCCACTGAGGCAATTACTCGTAGGCAAGGTGGCCATCCAGCTGCCACATTATCAAGTCTCTTGGAAAGATAGGCAACAGGCTTTTGCCATGGTCCCAAACTCTGGATCAGTCCTGTGGCTCCTAGAAATTTTTGCACTTGCCTTTTAGTCACAGGGACTGGAATCTGTTGGATGGCTTGCATTTGCTGGGAGGAAAGAGTCTTTTTTTTTTTTTTTAAATGGAGAGTCCAACAACCAATGTAGTCTTTCTGTCCAGCAGAAACCACTTAAGCCTGGTCTTTAGGGTCCTCTAGGTTGTCAAATCTCTTTTAAGCAACCTCTAATAACTGACTGAAGGGCATTTTTTTTTTAAATCTCTCAAACTTTTGCAATTTTTGTCTGATGTCTGGGGCCGAATGAGTTACAAAGAGAACAACTGGTGATACCGGGGAACCTCTTTACCTCTGGTTGTTTAATCGGGGTGGGACAAAAGGAAAACATGGTTCTGGCATTACAGATCAGAGAGCAAGCTTCATCTGGATGGCACACCGCTTTTTGTCCCAGGGTGCCACGTGGCAGGCCATTGTTTTACTGAAATTATATACTTAACAAAAAAGTGCTTTTTTATAGGTAATTAAATTAATTGTGCTGTATAATCTCTCAGATGTTTACAGCACATGCAAGAACTTGTATTTTATCTCTATAATCACCAATCACATTAGCACAATAGTTATTTCTTTTAAATTTAGATCGGCTTTTTCCAGTACAAGATGAATTTTTTTTTAGCAATCAAAATCTCAACTCTGTCTTTATAATCTATAACATTCCTAGAAATTTTCCTCCCCCAAATTCACAGTATTGTAAATTATTTTGTTGGGCTCTTTGCTCTTGATAGCCAAGCCACAGAAGGAAAGCATTTTTTTCTTTTACATTTTTACTTTAAGACAAAACCACCTCTTTTTTACTTTACTTATTACCAGTTACTCTTTTTTTTGCTTTTTAGACAACATTAAAGCCTTTAACAAAATCCTTGAAATGACCTTTTTAGTAGTCTAAATAAAGCATATTTAATCATTTTATGTCTTTTTTACTACATTAAAATGCTGTATTTAACAAAAACTGTAACCTTTTTAACTGGCTCAATTACAGTATGACCTGGTTTTATTTGGTAAAGTTAATATGATTTTTAAAAACCATAAATATACATATATGTGCACGTATGTTCACATTTTAACCAGAAAGAAAAATACTTTTTAAAAAAGGCATGCCCAGGTTGCAAGTAATCAATTGAGGACTAAAACATTAAACAAGTCACCACAAGACAAGAACAACGTTAAAGACACAAACAAAGGTTGTTTTGTGCAGTTTGGTGAGCTAAAGGAGATAATTTTCATTATGAACCTTGAGTCCGATGAGCCACATGGATCCTGCAACAGAAATGGGCAACAAGCCCCTAAGTTAGTAACAAATTTAACAAGTTTAAATGGGCCAAAAAAACCCCCCAAAGTTAGTAACAGATTCAAACAGGCAGACAATTCCAAAGTACACACAGGCAAAAGGCCTCAAAGTTCCGGATGGGCCGAAGCCCCACAGGGCCGAAACTACACACATGGGCTGAAGCCCCAAACAGGCTGAAGCCACACACATTACAAACAGGCAATAGCCCCGGATTCCAGTGCAGAAGGAGCCCTAGCTCGTCTGCAGTCATTGCACGTATCTAATTACAAATAGACAGAAACCCTGACATGGGCTGAAGCCCAAACAAAGTTACAAATGGGCCCCAAAAGCCCTAAAATACAAAAGGGGAAAAAGGCCCCCAGAAGTTGTCTCATTTTATCTGCAGTTATAAATGTGTGCACTCAGATTATAAACAGGCAAAAAAAAAACAAAACCCAAATACTTACAGATGTTTGGCCGATCGATCGGTGAAAAAATAATTTGGGGGGTCCCCCATTAATCCAGAGTGAGCCCCCAAATCTTGTAATCCAAAAACGAGCCCCCACACTCGGGTTTAAAAAATGAGGCAAAAACGTATTTTAAAAAGCAGCGCTGATTTATTTTATCCTGGGCCCAGCGACACAGCGCAGTTGGAGATTGCAAAAGCTGTTTGTGTGTTGCTCCTCTATACTTGCCACCTTTAAGTACATATCACAGTTTACAAAGTAAGGGGTTTGGGCATGGATCAGGAAAACTGTTAATGAGGAAGGCCTTTGTTTTCCTTAGGAGAGGACAGAGCAGTCTAGCAGTAATTAACAACCTCTGTTAGCTTATTTTAGCACCAAATAACATCTGTTATTTGTAGAGGGCAACAATGGTTAACATATCAATTAGGTAAGATTTTATAATTCTTTATAGAGGAGAGCATTGATTAACATATCAATTAGGTCACCCAGAGGGGGAAAGAAAACATATACATAGTACGGCCATGTTACAGGTATTTTGGCATAATACAAATACAACGAAGCTCTTTTTTCTAGTGTACAACAATTATCAAGACACAACATCCAACACCTATAATTTAAAGGAGGAAAAGTTTATTTTGGTTTACAGTTTGCAGAGGATTCAGTCATAGTCAGCTGGCTCCAAGGCAGGGTGGCATGGCAGAAAAGAAGCAGCTCATGGTGTGGCAGCAGGAAGCAGAGAGATCAAGGGAGGAGGAAGAGAGACAGACTCTTCCAGGACACGCCTCCAACAACCCACCTCCTTCCACCAGGCTTTACCTCTCAATCACATTAAACTATAAATTCATAGTGGACTGAATCCCAGAAGGATAGCACATATGGTCCAGTCGATTCTTTAAAACCATATCCATGAGTGCATGAGGATTTGCGGAGATAGCTAGATATAAATCATAGCAAACTACAAGCTTTTAAAAAGCCATCCATTAAAGATATGCTAAGAGACCAATTATTTTCTACAAGTGTCCAGCTGAGACAAAACCAGCCAGCCCTGAGCAGCTGCATGACACTATATCCCACACTGGTCCCAGTGTTGATGCATTGTGCCAACGTGAGAAGTCTAAAAGCTTAACTAAGTAACTCAGCAGTTGCACATCCTAGAGCTCAGAGGACATGCCCTTTCTGCCCTGGGATGCCATTCATTGTGTCAACTTGAGAAGGCTAGGAGTTTAACAAAGTGGGTCAGCAGGGGGCCCTGATCCTCACTTGGTAAGCATCCTGAGCCTGTGCAAGAGGAAGGCACGGGATGGTGTGAGTGCTACACCCCACAGAGGGCAGACACTGCATACAATACAAGGGAGCGAAAGAGGCTTGCTTCCCCTTGCTTGCTCTTGATGATTTGCTGTTTCCCCCTACTGCCCCCTCTGCCACGCCACCCTGCCTTAGAGACAGCAGATTATGGACCAAAACCTCTGCAAGCTATGAGCTAAACTGTTTCTTCCTTAATACTGGGTGTTGTGTATTTTGCCTCAGCAATGAGAGAAAAATAACCAGTACACCCAGTGCCACAGTCACTGGTGCTCTTGTTAGAACAGACCGCAAGGCCACCCGGACCACTTCGGCATCAGAATCTCCACCAGATCTGTGACAGGGCAAGTTTGGAGGTTACACTGAGCACTTTGGTAAGAAGACTCTACTCCTTTAAACTAGAGCGTGCAGCCTCAGATTGTGCCTTGCAGGAAGCAGAAAATAGCACTCTGGGTCCTTATACTTAAGATGACTTTACAGACCCAAGTACACTACCGTAGTTTCAACTCCTCTGCAGCCTAGTCACGTCTCCCTTTGTGGATGGGTGTGTGCACATTTCCAGCCACTATTTCCTGTTTCCCGTGTTGGCCCGGCAGGATCACCCTAGTCACGACACTCCACCAGCGTGTTTCTCCTTGCCTTGTTGTTGGGATCTCATAAACAGCAGGCTCCCTCTGGGGCTCAACCTCAAATGCCCTGTTTCATACTCACTTCCTACGGGCTTGTTTCAGCAATGATTGGATAATGTTCTGAACCTACAAAATTTTCCATGATATCTTCTTGCTGAATCTTGGGGTTATTCTCACAAGAACAGGTAGCCTGGCTACGCAGAACTCTTCTCCTGTCCCTCTTGGCTCTCCACTGCCACAAATCTGTGAGTCCTCCGTAGACCTGGGCTTGGACCCAGCCTGTACTTGCTGAGGAGTTTGCTTCTAGCTTTTAATGCTAGTCTTTTTTCTAAAGGATGAGGAATGTGGGGTGAGTGAGATATTTACCGAGGAATCTCAGCTCCTGATGCTGCTGAAAGGAAGTGGATTTCTTTATTGTTTAAGGCTCAGGAAATTATCTGAATCACTATCAAAATCATTTCAGAAACATCTGCTGCTCATAAATTTCCTGCTCTTCCATTCTCTGATCTGTTGATTCTATAAATTTATAGAGGGAGTATTGGATTAAATGGCATAAACACTGGAAACTCCTTAAAATCACAATCCTATTTTGTTGTGATACAGGGTTGGAACTGGAGCCTGTTATGGCTTGTGTCTAGATGGCCCCTGAAAACTTCATGCGGTAATAGAGGGGGCTTTGTTAGAGGTGGCTGGAACTCGTGTGCAGCACTGGGATTGATTCCTGGTACAGGACTCAGATGGAGGGCATTAGGCTTAATGGTGTGAGTGCTGCCTGCCCTAAGCAACCGAGATAAACTATAAGGGATAAAGAGAGCTGTGACCATCCCTTACTGCTTTGCTGCATTCTGCCTGCCATGAACCGTTTCTCCTCTGTGATGCCTGTCTGCCATTCACCCAGCCTTGGAGCCAGTCGATTACGGGCTGATACCTCTATAAACTGTGAGCTAAATAAAGCCTCCCTCCCTTGACTTTGGGCATCAGGCATTTAGTGTCAGCAATGAGAAAAGTAACTAAGACAGAGCCCCACCACTATGTATTTATTGGCTGTGTGGCCTCAGAAAAATTACTTAACTTCTCTGAACTTTTTTTTACACAAAATGATGAAAATGATTGCAGTAGATTGCCAAAAATGGTAACAATCCTCCACCTTTCTGTATGAATGGACTGCTGATTTGGCTAGGTAGCTATAGATTTCACACCTCCCGAGTGGAAGATGTCATAAGTTTCCCTGAAAAAGTGTAACAATAATATACATGGAATGTTTCCAAAAATATCCATAAAATATTCTTATCACTCACTGTTTCTTAAACAGATAAAGTCCAATCATCAGCAGGACAGGAGAAGCCCTTCCAGGTCGCACCCACGGCCCTGCCTGTCTTTCATCCTCCTGCTGCTGATTGCTGCCTTCACCCGTGCAAATGACACCTGCGACCTCCAGTATGGACAATGTCCTTTAGGTTCAGACCCCCCAAAGAACGCAGTGGTGAAATGTACTTTCAATCAACTTTATTGGACATAGTTTATATATGATAAGAATATGAAATGTTGAGTTTTGGCAAATAAATTTGCCAAGCAACAGCCACCTTGATTAGCCAAGACCTTCCACAGCCCGATTGCTTCCCCTGTAGCCTTTCTCAGCCAATTCTACCCATCAGCTATTCTGTGTAACTTGTTCTATCACTGTTGTTTAACTGTTTTCAGAACTCTTAGGAGTACAGTCACGGATTATACGCCCTGATATTCATGTTGCTGTGTGGGTTGGAGCTTCTTTCCTTTTGACTGCGAGTGCTAACCCATTGGATGGCGGTACTATGATTTGTTCATTTACTCACCCACTGGTGTGCCTTTGGTTTGCTTCTAGTTTTTGGTTTTGAATGTTTAAACCTACTAGGAACATTTGTGTATTATTTTTTGATGTGTTTGCACACACATTTTTATTTTTCTTGCATAAATACCTAGAAGTATAATGGCTGGGTTATGCTGTGAGTATAGTCAGGCCCTCAGTATCTAGAAGGAATTATTCGTAGGGTCTAAATCAATACCCAAGTCCTTGCATATTCAAGTCCTTTATATAACATGGCATAGTATTTGCATATAATCCATGAACAATGCTCCATAAATCAGCCCTGGGTTACTAATCATACCTAACCAGGATAAATGCTATATAAGCAGTTGTATTTTTCAGGTAATAATCACAAAAACCAAAATCAACACATGTTCCATAGGGATGCAACTCCCCCCACCCCAAACATTTGCTATCCATAATTGGTTGGACCCACAGATGCAGAGCAGATGTGAGCAGAGAGTATGTATTTAACTTTGTAAGGACGGTCACTCTCTGTCCGAAACATCAGCCTTATGTCATGGTCTTAGGGCAGCACTGATGTTTTCTAGGGCTCCTTGTTCCTGCCAACACTGTTTTAAAATAAACCTTTTCAATTTGAGTCCCAGTGGTAAGGATGAAGTCTTATCACACTGTATTTCAATCTGTATTTCTCCAATGACTACGCTGAAAATGTTTCCACGGGCTTATGAGTCATCTCTATATCATCTGTGCAGACTTCACTGGTTAAGTCTTTTCCTATTCTCATTTTAAATGGGATTATCAGTCTTCTCATTTTGAGTACAGACCCTAGTTTTGAGTACTAGAACCTCTTCATGTATTTTGGATACAACTGCTTCGTCAGGCATGCATACTAGGAGTGATTAAAAATACAGTGCATGCTTAAGTAAAAATATTGCAGTAAAAGGCCTCTCGCAATTAATTTTACTCCCACTTGCTCTGAATATTTTCTCCTATCATCCTTGCCACTTTCTGAAGTAGTTCTGAATGCTCTTTTTTATGAATGTCTTTGCTATGTGACCACCTTGATGTACTGAACCCATTCAGAAACTTTACAGCAATTTCTGTCAAATAAAAACATTACAGTATCGCTGGGCATGGTGGCACATGCCTGTAATGTCCGCACTTGGGAGGCTGAGGCAGGAGAATTGCCAAGAGTTCAAGGCCAGCCTAAACAAAATAGAAAGACCTGCCTCCAAAAAAATTAATTACGATAATAATTACAATGTGTCTTCTCTCCCTTCTTCACTGACACTGGCTCTGGCACCCTGTAACTTCGGCTCTTCCCCAAAGCCAAAACAACCACAACAGTTCAGCATCTTGAGTTGAATCAGGGTATCAAGGTACCATAACAGTGCAACTAAAGCTATTCAGGAAAGAAGATTTCTAGAACTGCTGCAGAAAGTGGAAGGAATGAGAGAGACAGGTGTGTTGACAGTGAAGGGGAAGATTGTGAGAGGATTCATGGCGATGTATCTTTTGTTGTAATAATTTTTAAAATGTAAACATTCACTGTATTTTGAAAGGACACCTCTAACTTCATTGTCTTCTTGTTTGAAGCTTTCTTTCTTCTTTCTTTCTTTCTTTCTTTCTTTCTTTCTTTCTTTCTTTCTTTCTTTTGAGGAAGGGTCTCACTATGAGGTTTAAGCTGGCCTTGGGCTCACTTTGTAGCCCAGGCTGGTCTTGAACTTGCAACAATCCTCCTGCCTCAGCCTCCTGAGTGCTGGGATTACAGGAGTGCACCACCATGCCTGGCCTTTCTTGCTTTCTTAGTGGTGATTTCTGAAAAGTGAAAGCTTGGGATTTTATATGAAACCCAAAGCAGTAGTCTTTTCTTTTATGGTTAGTGCTTTGTGTTTTAAATTTTTAACTGTGGTCCATAAATGCTGTTTTCTCATGGAAGTTTTATAGTTTGGGCTTTTTGATCTATGATCAACCCATTCAAATATATTGTATGTATGGTGTGGGAGAGAGGTTGAAGGATTTCACTTTCCATTTAGATCCCTAATTGTTCTAGTTCCATTGGTTGAAAAGAATTGGCATCTCTGCTGAATGCTCACTGGCTGTATCTAGTTGTCTTCTGGTTCTCTGTGGAATTAGTCCCCTGGGTTTCTGCACCAAAGTATTATAAACAGAGTAACTGACAACAGCCAAAGCTCACACGCTCACACGTCCAGAGCCCAAATCAATCTGTTGCCAAGGTCATATTCTCTCCAGAGTCTCTAGATAACCCTTGCTTGCTGTTGCTTATTTCTGGTGACTCTTGGATTCTTGGCTTGTGGCTGCAGGATCCCAATTTTCTTGCCTTTACATGCTCTTCTCCTCTGTGTCTTTGTGTCAATTCCTCTTTTGTAAAAGCCAGTCCTTGGATTTGGGACACACCCTAATTTCAGGGCGCCCGCATCCTGAGATTCCTAAGGTAACTACACTGACTGAGACCCTATTTCCAAATAAGGACATGAGCTCCTAGGAGGAGATGCATTTTTGCAGGGAGGGGTTACTGTTCATATAACATTTATTACGTCCCATGGGTCAATTTGTCTACTATTCTTTTGTAGTCCTGGGGTTTAACCTAGAGCCTTCTGTGTGCCAGGCAAACACCACCACTGAGCTAGTTTTTACTAGTTTAACACCACTGTCATGATCAGCCATAGTGTGTCTTGAGATCAGGGAATGAAAGTCTTCCAACTTTGTTTATTTTAGAAAATGGGTTGTCTGGACTTCTGGGTAGATGGTGGAGTGATATTGCAGCAGACAAAACAGGCTCTCTGAGAGTAACCACCCAGAGGCTGGAATATAGCATCGTGAGGAAGACAAGAAGAAAGGAAGTGGGTCCCCTGGACCCCGGAAGAACCTGAAGTGTGAACTGAAGTGTTTCCCACAGAGAGAGGGAAAAGAAAACTTCAATGAAGAGGAAGGCAGAAGCTGGTGGTGCCTTCTCCCTGAGATGGGATTCACTGCACAAGAGGAGCTGTTTGAACCTGGGCATGCAGAGTGATGGTGACAGTGACAGCTGGCGACCCCAGGGCCTCTGCAGAGAGACGCAGCACTGGAGGTAGCAGCAGACATGGAGGACTGCACTGGCTGGCGGTGAGTGCAGAGGACTCAGTCCTCTCCCAGGGAGAGAGTTAGCTGGGAGCCATTTTGGAGTTGGGCCAGATAAGCCCAGGACCCAGAATTGCTTTAGGCTTCCCCCAGCAGCCCCTAGCTGGGTGCAGACCGGTGGAAACTGCTTGGATTGTGGTGAGCCCAATGAGTGTGGTCTCAGGGCTACCTGCTGGGATTACCCACTGTTCTTCCATAAAGCAACTGCTAGCTTGCTGGGATAGATCGCCTTGATTCAGGACTCTATCACCACAGACTGTCTACTAGTGAACCCAGAGAGATTCCTGCAGGTAGACTGTTTTCTTTTTCATTTTTATTTATTTATTTATTTGTTGGAGTTTTTTTTTTTTTCTCTTTCTCCTTCATTGTTTATTTATGACTGTGGAAGTGGTGCCTAATCTCTTTGTGGGTATAGTTCCATTCTGTTCTTCCTTTTATCTCTCTTTTTTTTAAAATTTTATTTAAGGAGAAAAAAAAGCAGAGAAAGGGTACAAGTTATACAGATTTACAGAAAAAAATAAACAGTAGGAAATCACTAGTTAATGGATTACATATTGTTATCTTAGAAATAATTGTTCAAGTCACAAAGTTAAAGCTTGTAAAGTGGACATTCCAATAGTGAGACTGCAAACAGTTCTGTTCAATGATCCAATAAAACTCAGTGATATCATTTTCTCTCTTTTCCTTCAGTCTTCTGCACCAGTTTCCCCAAGTTGATGTGATCCCCCATTGTCCTCCAGTCTCACTTCTAACCTCTTTATCTTCTTCCTTCTTCTATTTTCTCCTTAATTCATTTTAAATTTTAACCCTGAGGGCAAAATTGACACGTCATGGACTTATACATTGCATATAATTATCTGGTTTGTTTTACATTTTGTTATATATCACAAATCTAGTTCGTACCATTAAAAATGGCAAATTAAGGGCCAGCTCAGTTTGTTGTTGTCTAGGTTGTGTTTCATGCAATTGGTAACACTATAGCCAAAATTAATATAATTGTTCTAAATAGCTGTTGGTCCTGATAATTCATGACTGAGATTAAAGCTCACAGAAAATACTGTGGCACAGTGCCAAAGAACCAGGGAGAAGGCCAAACAAGCAACAATTTCTCATCACCCACAAACTGAAGAGGTAAGATCTTCCAACATATTCCAGACCCAAAAACCAGCTACACCTGGAAGATGCTTTAGAGAAGAAATCATCACTTAAGGGTCCTAAATACTACCAATAAAGCAACCTACCATAGGCAGTTTACAAGCATCATCCCAGGAATTAAGCTTAAAAACAAAGAGAAAATAAAATGAGAAGGCATTTTAGCAAAATTCAACCTCAGGCATCCAGTTCACCAAAGAGCCAATCAACAAGGCAACGATGTAGGACAATCTGAAAGCTCTGCACCAGGTCTCTCTGAAGTAAAAACAGCAAAGCAATTGAATGAGGCTCTGGAAAAAAAATGAAATCAGAAGTAATCTCTCAGATAACTATATAGATTACTAAAATACATACCATGCTTGGCAATGTTAGAGTAGACACAGACAAAAGAGTAGATGAGCTTAAGCAAATTACGGAAGCTCAGCATAGGAAAAAAATTGAATCCACAAAGCAGATTCAAGCAGATACCCAGGAGAATAAAAACTCCTTGAAAATATTTGAAGCAGATGAAGCCAGATTTCTCAAAACTAGCAAAACTTGAAAAATCAATCCTGCAGCTACTAGATGAGACAAAGAAGAATAATTTAAGATTAATTGGAGTCAATGAACAAGCAAGAGATACCACAAATAACATTAAAAAAATGTTCACAGACATCATGACAGAAAACTTTCCTGTAGAGCAAGAGAATTTGACATACACACAAATGAGTCATATGGAACTCCAATTAGCAATGATTAAAAAAACTCTGCAGCCAAGTGGATCATAGTCAAGAGTCCAGAAATTCAACACAAGAATAGAACTCCAAAAGCTGTTAGAGAAAAAAAAAAACACATCGCTATAAAGGAAAACTCATCAGAATTGCAGCGGAATTCTCTCCATAAACTCTCAAGTCAAGGAAAACTTGGAATGAAGTACTCTAAGTTCTAAAGGAAAACAATTTTCAATCTAGACTGAAATACCCCACAAATCTAGCTCTCAAAATTGATAGAGAAATTAGATAGTTCCAGGACAAAGAACAGCTGAGGAAGTTAATGACCACAAACCAGCACTCCAAAGTGTTCTGAAGGACATTCTAGAAAGAGATAATAAGGACTACAGCTCCATGAACCCCAAAAGAAGGAATCCACAAGGGAAGGCAAACAATTGGAAGGAGAAAAGTGGGGACCCAACAACAGGAAAAGAACAGGACAAGGATAAGTCAATATATATCAGTTATAATCATCAATGTTAATGGTCTCAATTCACCAGTCAAAAGTTACAGACTGGTAGAATGGATCAAGAAGCAAGATCCAACAATATGCTCCATACAAGAAACACATTTAATTCAAAAAGAAACTCATAGGCTGAAAATCAAAGGATAGAAAACAATACTCCATGCGACAAGAACCCAGAAAAAAGCAGGAATAGCTCTTCTATTGGAAAACAAAGTGAATTTTAAACCACAACTCATCAAGTAATGAAAGACATTGCTACATCCTTGTAAAGGGAACAATCCAAGAAGAAGAGATAACAATCATAAATACATATGCAGCAAATACCAGTGCACCCAGCTATATAAAACAATTACTAACAGACATAAAAAAATCAAATAAGACCTAATACAATTGTATTGGGAGATGTCAATATCCCACTGTCACAAAAAGACAGATCAACTACATAAAAAAATAATGAGATATTAGAATTAAATCAAACTTTTGAACAAATGGACCTCGTAGATGTCTATAGACTGTTCCACCCCACAACATCAGAATACACACCTTTCTCAGCTGCACACAGGGCATTCTCCAAAACAGACCACATACTGGGCCATAGAACATGCTTAAGTAAATGCAAAAGAACTGAAATTATCCCATGCATACTATCAGAGCACAGTGCAATGAAATTGGAAATCTATGCCAGAGGAAACCATAAGAACTTCATAAACACTTGGAAATTAAATGGCACCCTACTGAACAACCAATGGATCGCAGAAGAAATTAGACAATTTTTACTAGTTAATGATATTGACAGTGCAACATACCAGAACTTTTGGGACAATGAAAACAGTCCTAAGAGGGAAATTTATAGCACTAAATACTCATATCAGGAAAACAGAGCAACCAAATATAAACAACTTAATGGTGAGCCTCAAACTTTTAGAAAGAGAAGAGCAGGCTAAATCAAAAACTCTTACAAGGGCAGAGAATATAAAGATCAAAGCAGAAATTATCACACTAAGACTAAAAAAAAAAAAAACAGTAAAAGAACCAATGAATCAAAGAGTTGGCTCTTTGAAAGGATAAATAAAATTGACAAATCCTTAGTCAACCTTATTTAAAAGCATTAAGAAAAGACTCAAATCCATGCAATTAGAAATGAAAATAGTGAAATCACAACAGACACTGTAAAATCCTGAAAAATTATCTATACTTGTTGGGAGCCACCACATTGCCGAGCCGCCGCATATAGCGATCATGCGGCCTGTGGTAAAGAGTAAAGCCTGAGTTAGATTACCCCTCCCATCGAGCACGTTAGTTTCCTGCTTACCGCGTAAACAACCCGCTCAATAATATGTTAGCCAATCAGCTTGCCTTGCTTACTTTAATATGATTGGACACTGTATCCGTATATATACTGGTGCCACCCCTGGGGGGAAGTAGAAGCCCGGAAGGAGCCGCGGAGAGCGGACCGGTAGAGGCTTCGGAGCGAAGCATGGAAGGAGCCGCGGGGAGCGGACCAGAGGAGGCTTCGGCTGGGAGCGATCCCAGGGCAGGCTGTACGGAGAAGGAAAATAAAAGGTTGTCCACTGCCAGACTTTGTTGTGTGTCCTTCCTGCCGGCCGGGAGTGACACCGACATATACTCACTTTGAAAACCTATTTCAACAAGTTGAAAAATACAGAAGAAATGGACAGATTCCTAAACACATATGAATTACCAAAGCTGAATCAAGAAGATATAAAAATCCTAAATAACCCAATATAAATAAATGAAATTGAAGATGTAATTAAAAATCTATCACAAAAGATATGCCCAGGCCTTTACAGATTCACCACTTAATTCTACAAGACATTTGGTGAAGACCACTAACACCACTACTTCTCAGACTCTTTTAATGAAATTGAATTAGAAGCAATACTTGCAAATTCATTCCTGATGCAAGCATTATCCTGATACAAAAACCAGAGAAGGACTCAACCAATAAAAAGAATTACACACCAGTCTCCCTAATGAACATTGATGTAAAAATTCTCAATAAGATACTGGCAAACAGACTGCAACAAATCGTTAAGAAGATTTTACACCATGATCAAGTGGAGTTCATCCCAGGGATGCAGGGATGATTTAACATACATAAATAAAATGTAATATACTGTATTAACAGCACCACAGGTAAAAATAATATGATCATCTAAATAGATACAGAAAAAGCTTTTGACAAAGCCCAGCACTGATTCATGATTTTAAAAAACTACAAAAATTGGAATAGATGGGCTTTATCTCAATCTGATAAAAGCCATCTATGACAAATGAGCAGCTACCGTCATACTAAATGGACAAAAACTGAAAGCTTTTACTCTAAAATCAGGAACAAGACAGGGATATCCACTGTCTCCACTCTTATTCAACATAATCCTAGAAATTTTAGCCAGAGGAATTAGAGAAATAAATAAAAGGAAGAAAGATAGGAAAGGAAGAAGTTAAACCACTGTTATTTGCAGATGATGTAATAACCTACTTAGAAGACCCCAAAAACTCTACCAAAAGATTTCTAGATTTAATAAGCAAATTCAGTAACATGGCTGGTTAAAAGTCAACACTGAAAATCAATAGGCTTCCAATACATGAATAAC